AGAAACTAATGGGAAGCTGCTATTCTGCCTTCGACCACTAGAGGGGGATATTTTGTTTCTTTTTTTCTTAGGTCAAGAAAGGTTCAGGGAAGGCAGGGAAAAGACAGTCCAGGCAGGACAGTACCAGGCAGTCCGAAGACTGTCTCCCAATGCACCCTCTAAACGCTGGGAGGAGTGAGGAAGCAGACAGGCACCCTTTTCACTGGCCAACAGTTAACTGAAAGTTCACTTTTTGCACTTTCCCTGCCTCCCACATGGGTTTTTTTCAGTTCTTAACTCAAATCTAAGTACTTAAGTCAAGTCAATATTTTCCTGTGAGAGCGGTTCTTAAGTCAAAAAGTTCTTAACTCAAGCCGTTCTTAAGTCAAGACCCCACTGTGCTCTTAAGCGTTACATAGAACTATTACTTTCTTTAGGGTAAGGCTAAAACTTCTAATTTTTAGCCCTGCTGCATGGGAGCCTTGCCCTATGTGTGCGGGGTGTGTGTGTGTGTTATCTGAAACAGGAAATAAATGGGCATCAACACTGGCTGCCAGTGCACTGCCGCAATAGAGCTCTGTGCATGCATGTGCACAAGTTAGAGGGAAGATTGGGTAAGGCAATGGCCATATGGGCAGTAGCAATGGACTGGATGAGACACAAAATGCAAAAACCTTATCTGGACAGGAGGGAGAATTGGTGATCTTTCAACCTCAAGATGTGGGTTTAACTTGTTATGGAAAGAGCTGCATGCTCCCTGAAGACAATTCACAGCTTTTGGGTGCCCCTCAATCTAATTTGTCATTGGAGGGTCAAGGGGTCTCTGTGGCTGACAGCTGACAGAATGCCAACTTCACACCATGCTATGGAGTGAAGGCATGGCACCTGTTGCTATGCCCCCATTCTCTTCATATTAAGCTACAGAAACACATGAAATTGTCTTTGTTCAGAAATTGCAGTTATTTCAGATGCTGCTCTTAGGCGTCTGTTATGAACATATATCAATAGTCCTTGCAAATAACTGCCTGGCTCACAGTGGATTTGCAAGCAAGATCTACAATGCTTCTGTTATATGCCATCAAGTCAGAACTGGCAGTACCTCTAATGAGTTACTTAAGGAACCATCCTCCCCTCCCTCTGACTTTTCATGAGCAAGGAGAAATTCAAACCCAACTCACTATCTTACTGCAGGATATACTTTCGGAAACTGTTCCACATGAACCAAGTAAGCAAGGTAAAGAGGGCCTTCTCAGCAACAATATCATAATTAGAGAATGTTCTCTCAGGAAGATTTGCCTGCTCCAATGTCCTTCTGGAATAATTTGTTCAGACATTTAATACATATATAGCTTTCCTTTTTAAGAAGTGGACTGCCTTTACATATTGCTACTACTTCATTTTTGTTGCGAAGCCATTTTTTCTTCCATTTTTTGTTATCTGTGAGATGCCCTAGGAAAGCCTGAACTTTCTCCAGAAGCTAAAATTATAAAACTGAGAGTGTCATACTCTCGGTACATCATGAGAAAGACTTGCTAGAAAAGATAATAATTCTAGAAAAGCTGAAGTCAGCTTAAAAAGAGAACAACCAAATACAGGATGGATTGATTACAACAAGAAAGCCACAGCCTTGAGCGTATCAGGGTTCAGTAGGGCTGTGGATGACAGGACATTCTGGAGATCACTCATTCATAGGGTCACCATAAATCAGAGGCAACTTGGTGGCACATAACAATAACAACCAGGAACATTTTACACTGAATAATAACCGACAAATTAATAAACAATTTGAAACAGATAATACAGTATTGTCATAAGCTGCCACTAGCCCCTGTAGTATTATATGATTTGCTACATTTATTTTCATACATTAATCTGAAATATCATTTGAACAGTACCAGTTTGGGTAGATATAGTACAAAATGACTGGGAATGTTTTCCAAAGCTGGCATAAAGTCTTAGCTATGCCAAAATCTTGCTAAATTTGTTTAGACTTTTACAAACTAAAAAGCAAAGAATCCTGTTATTTTTCAGTCAAATCCAATTTTGCCCCTTCATGATGAGGATTTTTTTTATAATGCCAACAGCCTCTTCCCCACAACAGTATAATAATTTGTGATGTAGGGACACCGTTGGATGTGCCACTATGTCTACATGGGCACTATCATCACAATATTATGCAACAATATCTGAATATAGTTGTGTACCTCCTCTGCCCCTGAAACATCCAGCTAGAATATGAAGCAGGTGCTAGATTTTTCTCCCTAGGTTACAGCTTTATACCAGGAAGTTAGAGAATCTATATAATGCAAGTGTGCCAAGTAAATGCACTTCACGCTTCCGCATAAGCTTGAGAAAACAAATGTCATGCTGCATCCAATATTGCAGGGGTTTATTACCACTTCAAAGTCCATATACTGAGACACAGCAACAGATATATTAGCTAGAAATGTGCAGGTGTGTCCTTGGACTACAGCTCCCTGAATTCCCCAGGCAGATGAGACCATGCTGCCTGGAAAATTCTGGAGGTTGTAATCCAAAACTATAGATCCACATACCTCTAATATTTGCCTACTTTATTCTAAGTCAATATCACATGACTTTAATTTTTAACCACTTGAGACTACAGTGCCAAAGAAGAACCACATAGACTAAATTTCCACTGCAGTGATATACCAAATGATCTCAAACATGTTTGGACTAGATAACCCTTAGAATCCCCTTCCAACTCTATAAATCTATTATTCTGGGTAACCACTCCACTCTAAATCTGGAAATAATAATTTGTGATGGAAAATCTAAAAGATGCCAATCAAGATTCAGAGAGATTATCAGTGAAGCTGCAATAATGTGACACTGCAATTCTTACAGAAAAACCTCTCCTTGGCACAGCCTCTCAATGAACATGGTGTTAAGAGAAGTACTGTATGATCAACTGTATAATCTACACCTATCAGCAGGTGTTCTTTAAAAGTAGGAGAAAGTACCACAGGTGAGGAAGGAGTTCACACTGACAAATTCAGCCTCATTCAAGTACAGTATGGATGATTAAGTTTACAGTCTACTCTACTATCACTGTAGTGCACCAGAACACTTTACATCTCTGCAGCTAGGACAAAAGGTATCAGATGCTGGAGAGGCTAGGTCAAACCTGGGCAAAGTGCGGCCTGAGAGCCACATACGGCCCGTGAGCCGCTCCTGTCGAGCCCGCAGACAGTTCTGAACATCAAAACCATTTATAGCTTTTTGTCTAAAGCTGATCAGTTGCTTATCTTTAACATACCACAAAAACCTCTTAGTATTTGTGAAGATTAACAAGTTTAAAATAAAAATAATCATAACATCACTGTTTCACTTTATTTTTAAGTAAAGTTGGTTCGGGCTCCAAGCCCAGTTCAGATTTTTCATGTGGCCCCCCTATAGAAATTAATTGCCCACCCCTGGGCTAAGTCCTGTACCCAATCATCAGATAAAGAGGTCAAAAAGACTGCTGTCTCTACTGCAGTACCCAATGCTTGTCCATCAAACCCTTAACAAGATTTCGCTTATTCCATACTGAAATCATTAATACAAATCTGCACAACGTCTGACTTTGTCTCATGATAACTTTGCTTTTGAAGCACTAGGCAGACACTGTAATATATGTTGTGCGCCATCAAGCCAATTCTGACTTATGGCAACCCTAGCAGGGCTTCCAAAGTATTTGAGATGTTTAAAGAGTGATTTTACCATTGCCACCACCATCATCTGTGAGCTTCTATGGACAAACAGGGATTTGAACCCAAGTCTTCTAAGTCTTAGTTTGACATTCTATCCACTGCACCACACTGGCCCTCCTAAAACATGTTATAGGGTAATTCTAATTTTATAGCAAAAAAACACAACAACCCCCCAACTCAAAATATCAAATAGCATACTACTGGACTTCAAGAACATTCAGTTATAAATGTCAGCAACAAAAATATAAAGAACAGAGGAAAACGTGCAGAAATACATCAAAGAAACAAGTAACACAAGGTTCCGCAGTACAAACTACAAAACAAGGTTCTACCCTTCAAGCTCCTTTATTTAAGAACAGTAACTCCATGTGCTTCATTGTTGGTCTACAGGGCAGAGATGAAGGCAGAGGACCAAAGGCCTAGCCTCAAGCAGCAGCTTTAAAAATTCCATCATAAAAGACCTTACAAGCTAAGATACCAATATCTGAACAGACTTCATAGGTCATACATGTTAAGAAGAGTAGGACACAAAAAAGTAATCAAAAAGCAGAATTGGAAAATAAGAAGTCGGGGGGGGGAATATTGTCCGAGTGAACTCTAACAGAAATCTGTAATGCACTTTGTATTACCTGCACAGTGCAGAAGAGTGGCTTGACAGTCTGGATTATCAAAAATGCAGGGAATCCTTCATTTAACCCTTCTTATACCAATAATACACAATAATATCAGGTTCTTTTTATCTTTCTTGGGCTTAGTTATCGATTAAGTTACCTAATTAGTTATCGATTTCACACAGGGTGAAAAATCTGCCCTATGTTGCATTTTTGGTTTGCAAGTCAACATGTTTTTCAAGTTTTGCCATCACTTTAAATTTAGTTTATATAGGCAATAAAGCTTCAACAGCAGGGTGAAATGAAAAACAAACTATGCACATTGGGAAGATCCTACTGAGGAGAAATAAAGTATGTGGCTATGGAACCATTACTCAGCCCACAGTATATTTATTTAAAATCGTACCCACTGCCTAACAGTTGTCTCAGGGCTTATACTACAAAAATGTAGTATACCACTTAAAATTTCATATCATAGCACCCCACAGGAACATGGCCATAAATAAAACAAAATCCAGGGGTTACGACTAAAATTAAAGAAAGCAAGATAAAAGACCCAGCAGTATTAAAGCCCTGACAGAAGCCAACATTCGTTACTGCTTATGTTACAGCATTCTAACAAGAGAAGCAACCTCCCTTGTGAGGGAATTCCAGTTGGGCTGGCTAATGAAAAGGCTGTATCCAAAGTACCTACCATTCTAGCTTCTCTATCTGATGGGCTGGTATAAGAGAAACTTCGACAAGGACCAAACACATACAGAATGCAATCACTTGAATGAGCTGCCTGCACTCATCTTTATTTTCAGGCAAAACTGAAGAGACTGTCAGCATGGTGGATTTTGTCAAACTAGGGCAGACTCTCCTCCTCCAAACAATCAGTCACATGGATATACACAAGGCTCAGGCCAAACGCAAAAGGGGAGTGACTTCCGCGCTACTGTCACAGACGATCTTGAAAACAGCAACACCCTCCCTGCCATGTTCGGATCCAAACATTAGAAATCACGTGGAGCAGTTTCTGCAATGGGTGTAAATCTTTTTTTAAAAAAGCTTTTACATGGGAAGGGACTGTGCTCAGTCCAGCGAGACGGCAACAAGAGATGGATAGGAAGCAGGTACTATTTTCGGATTGTGCACACTCTAAACCCAGACGAAACGCTTGGATTAACTTGACCCAAGCTCGATCTCGTGGGCTTCCTGCTCGCACGCCCACATGTCTATCCTTTCACATTCCGGTGGCAACCACAATCGTTGCCAGAACTTTTCAGAGCAGAAGTAATATTAATTCCGTGCTACCAAAAACGCGCCCTATCCACTGCCTGGTGTCTCTGAAGCGGGACGAGAAGAGGAGAGCTTTTTCGTCAGGCTCTCACAAACCTATCAAGCCCCTCAACTCCAGTTTCCTTTTTCTTTTTTTTAAACTTCCCCGTTGCCTGGACCCTGCCTGCTCCCCCGACTAGGGTGACCCACTAACACACCTCCATACAACATGGCCGCCCCACCAAACAGCGCTGAAACACGGCTGAAGAAGTTGACGCTTATCCCCGCCCCTTCCTGCCGCCATTGGTCCGACTAAGGGGAAGCCTTAATGCCATTGGACTCACCTGCCGTCAATATTTCAGCCCAGCAGCCCCCCTCATGAAGCTAGGCTGAGGCGACATATAAACAAATCACTTTCTGGAGGTTCTGAACTGAACGCCGGCCCACGCCCACCCCCCACCGGCCAGGAGCCGAGAGGCGAGCGAGGGAGAACGGCGCCAGCCGCGCCTAAGCCGAGGGGGGGCAGCTACATTCTCTAG